TTGAGAGACAGAGAGAGAGAAGGGAGGCGCGGAGGGAGAGGGAGAGAGTCTCGAGCAGACTCCCCACCGAGCTCAGAGCCCGGCTGGCCTGATCCCACGATCTGGAGATCACAACCAAGCTAAAGCCAAGAGTTGGATGCTCAACCACCTGCACCACCCAGGCGCCCCCTCTTCACATGGCCTTTTTTTTTTTAAGATTTTTTATTTACTCATTTGAGAGAGAGAGAGAGGGCAAGCCAAGCAGGAGCAGAAGCTGGGCGGAGGGTCAGAGGGAGAGGGAGAAGCAGTCTCCCCGCTGAGCAGGGAGCCTGATGCAGGGCTCGATCCCAGGACCCTGAGACAACGACTCGAGCCGAAGGCAGATGCTCAACTGACTGAGCCACCCAGCTGCCCCCTCACATGGGCTTCTTATCAGAACGCTGGTTATTGGATTTAGGGCCCACGCTAACGACATCTACAAAGACTCTATTCCCAGATAAGGTCACTTTCAGAGCTCCCGGATGGATATGAATTTGGGGGGATGCTGTTCAAGTCACTATGGTAGCTTCTGCAAACTTCAGTTTCCTCATCTGTGACATGGGGAAAATAGGATGCCCACCTGGCATCTTATTGTAGGATTAGACACAACAAAGAGTCCAGCACACAGCGGTGTTTTTACAAATTGATTTTCTATGGCTTTATACTGAGTCCCCCCAGCCACCCCACAGCCTTCATTTGCCCACTCAGTGCTGACCACTGGGCCCTGTGGATACTGTGGAGCCTAAGACACAGGAAGTCAAACTAACAGCTATGCCCACAGGGGTGGGGAGCTGTGATGGGGCCCCATGGGGCACTCTGGGGCATTACTGGAGCTGAGGAAGACACCTGACCAGGAGGCAGGGTGGGGAGGACTTCCGGAGGAGGTTGCATGGAGCCTGGGGTCTGAAGGAGGAGTGCCAGCTTGAAGTTCCAGCAGGGAGCAAGGGATGAGCCTCAGGGAGGAAGGGGTGGGGCCCTAGAGGGTGTGGGGGCCTTTGAAGGGTTCTTAGTGAGAGAGAAGTGCTCAGATTTGCATGTTCAGCAGGGGCTACAGCAGGGAAAGAGTGGCTGTGGACCCCGAGGAGGAGTTGCCAGGTGAGGGGGGCTGGGGTCCCGTGCAGACAGGAGGGGGGTAGATGTAAGTCTGTTGGACAGGACCACTGAGGTTGGAGGGGGGCTGGGGTCCCGTGCAGACAGGAGGGGGGTAGACGTAAGGCTGTTGGACAGGACCAGTGAGGTTGGGGCCGGGGCACTGAGGCTAGGCTGGCTGGGGGGAGCTATGGGGAGGGCTGTTACTTAGCTCAGGTTTAGGTACACATGTGGACCTGAGGCTTCTGAAACAGCAACTCACAAAATGTTGCAAGCAGGACTCAGAGAGTAACCGAGTTCAACTTGAAGAGATGCAGGAGGCCGAGGAATGAGGTGGCAGGGGGTGGGGGCTCCTAGAAGCTCTGGCGGAGGGCCAGCAGGGCATGCAGGGAAAGTGTTGGGTGGTTTTGGCATCAGGAGAACCACAGGACCACTTACCCCCCGGGGGAGTTTCGGGGGTGGGGTTGGGGGGTTGGAGAGGCGTGGACAGACAGGCTCAAGTCAGTGACTGATGCCCCTCGGAGACAAGACCAGATGCCCCTCTGAGACAAGACCAGGCCCTGCCCTGGGGTGGGGGCTGGGGCCAGAGAGGCTCAGCCTTTCTCCTCCACCCCCTGGAGCTCCCAGACACTGCAGATAATTAGAGGTGA